TGCGGCAGGCGCCGCCCCACCGACGCTGCCGCCGCAGCGCCGCAGCCATGGCAACGCCGCGGCGGAGGGGGCGCGGGGCCGCCGGCTGGTAGCGGTGCCGAGGTCGGGGAACCGTGGCAGCGCCCGTCGTAGCCCAGCCGCCCTGCGCCAGCGGCGGGGCGAGAAATCCGGGACCCCCGAGGGCGCGGGCCGCCCCAGCGGAGAGGCCCGTCAGGGCGGAGCCGCGACGCGCCGCTCCCAGCGGGCGAAAGGAGCGCCTTTCCACAGAACGGCTCCCCAGCTGAAAGCCCTGCCGAAAGGAGCGAGAAGGCCGCAGAGCCGGCCGGAGGGCGCTGACCTTTACGGCAAGGCGTCCTTTAACGTGCCAGTTCAATCCCACACGGACGCAGTGGGAACTAGCCGTAGATCTAAATAAACTGCAGTGCACTAAGACTTCTTAGGTGTAAGCCAAGCCCAGTGAGAGCCACGGCCACGAAAGACCCTGCTCTTGGGTTCCTCAGAAGCATCCTCATCTCTAAACGCTCAGAGATGCGGTGTGCCAGCCCATGAACACATCCACCATTCTGTCTTTCTTCTACTGCTTTACAGGGGAGATAAACCTGAACTTCCTCAGGTAAGGAGTTTGTTCTGCAAAAGCAAACTCTTCTGTTTACAGAAAATCTGAAGACATACACATTTTATTCTTTGTTGTTACCCGGTGTTGGCTTTTGCTAAGCATTGCAACACAGAGGAAACAAACCATTTTAAGAAACAGATCGACGCTGGTGAGGGGTCTGGAACACAGGTCATATGAGGGAGAGGCTGAAGGAGCTGGGAATGTTCAGCCTGGAGAAGAGGAGGCTCAGGGGAGACCTCATTGCTCTCTGTAACTTCCTGAAGGGAGGTTGTAGTGAGCTGGGGGTCGGCCTCTTCTCTCGCGTCATTAGTGATAGGACCAGAGGAAATGGTTTCAAGCTACGACAAGGGAGATTCAGGCTGGACATGAGGAAGAATTACTTTTCAGAAAGGGTGGTCAGGCACTGCAATGGATGCACAAGGAGGTGGTGGAGTCACCGACCCTGGGAGTGTTCAAGGAAAGGCTGGATGTTGTGTTCAGGGACATGGTTTAGTGGGAGCTGTTGGTAAGAGGTGAACGGTTGGACTGGATGATCTTTTAGGTCTTTTCCAACCTTGGTGATTCTATGAGTTCTGGATTTGTACTCTTCTATGCTACTGTCTACTTCTGCTGTAGGTTTATTATGTGGTAACTCGTATACTCCATCCATGTATTTGCTCCACACTGACAGCTTAATGGCAGCAGTGCTTATTCCAGGTCAGTCTTTGACCAATAAAACTTCCTGACACTAGAGTACAACATAGTTACCCAGTCACTGACTCCCCATACATTAAGAGCTGTTTGTAGTTAGGATTCACAAGCTGGCAAAGGAGAGTTGAATTTTCTGAGACACTGACCACTAAGAGTAATACAGAGACAATGTGAAAAAGTGTTATAACTCACATATAACCAAGGCACAGAACTTAAGATCTAAGACATGCAGGAAGGGCCTCTCCCATGCTGGCTGTGGAGAGCAGCCCCTGGGAACACTCCAGGCTGGCACCTTCTCGCAGGGTCTGAAACTGAACCAGACTCACCTGCGGGTATTACAAGGCAGCCCCTATGCAGACCCCCACCTGCCAGCTCCCAGCCAGGGTGAACACAGCCCTGCACCTGGCATGCACCAGCCCAAGTGGGCAGCTAGCAGCACCACAACTAAGCCCAGCATGGGACAGGCTGCTGTAACTGCCACATGGCTGTATCTACCTCTACTGTCATCTGTTATAGCACCCATGAAAGCTACATTATGAAGGAGTCCGAGGACAGTAACTTAATCATTTTATTTTTTTGAAGTTGTGCTATCCTACTGGCTGCCTTTCTACTCAGTCAAAATATCTGCTGTTTTACCTGTGGTTCTAACAAACAGCTGTCCTTTGTGGTTGTCTGAAATTCCTAACACTTTTCACTCCTTTGACATAGGCATGGAAACTGTCTTTATGTGTCTTATACTGCTTCATCATCTCTGTAACTCAAGACAGGCAAAAATTCTTAAGCAGCCAGGCAGACAGAAGGTTATCCAGAGAAGTTCAGAGAAGGACCAGAGGCACACAAACTCATGAAGTCAGTCTCCTGCCATGATCTATTAGCAGACCTATGTATTGGAACATGTCTGCTCTCTCGACCGCAATAACTTGGTGAAAAGTAGAGCACGTTCTCACATATAAGAGTAGGCACTTTCAAGCAGGCTGCACGTTTGCCTGTTTGGGCAACCCGTCTTCAGCTGTGGGCTCCAGTCACTCTTTACCCTCCTTCCTTACCCATGAAGGCAACACCGAACATAAAAATTTCAATGGAAAACTCTAGGTGGTTGCAAGTCCCATCCACAACATCACATTAAACACACAGGTGAGAGGTACCAGCATCGCTCACGGTGTAACAGAAGACAGATTGAGCGGGGAGACACGACGTGTGGGAGTGCTATTGGCTGACAAGGATGCCGGGAGGAAAAAGGGAGTAGCAATCTCTGTGGAGGAGGTCTCTCCTTGGTTGCGAAGCTGTAAGATTTGCCGCAGCAGCGCCTTTCCTTCTTCTCTAGTCTGAAAACAATTTGTAAAAAACAAAAACTGCGCACTGATGGATGAGTGGTTTCTGTGTCAAATTCAATATACAATCTGTCTAAATTTTAGTAATTTGTCACTCTATAAGGCCATCATTATGGAAGATATTTAAGAATGCCCTCAGAACATTAAGGTATGTCAGACTTTTTAACAATAATCCTCCCTCTTTTCACCTTATTTGCATATTACTTGGGTATTTCAGACACTGGTACCATCAACCATTGCAGCCATCTAAATATTCCGTTTAGAAGTAGATTGGAGAAGCTTCAAATAAGCTAAATTCAAATTCTTTTGAGTTCCAGACAACTCAGATAAGAACCGGGCACAAAAACCCGCAGCAGCCTTTGTTGGGGGCTCTCATAGGTTGGAATTTTAAAAAGTCCAGAATTTTCTACTCACAGGCTGCAGAAAAACTCAGAATATGAAGTCACTTACAAAACTCAAGCTTTTTGTCCCCACTTTCTCCATTTACAAGACGGGCAACAAGAAGCCACGTGAGTAACCCCACTGCAGCATGGGGCATTCTAAACTTTTAACCACCTCCCCACCAAGATTTTCAGCAGTCTTAAGGCTGCCATCTGCAGCCTCAAATTCTTTTATTTAGTGAACACCAAAGTAATGAGACTTGATCCAGTTTTACTTATCTATGCCATATTCCCTGACTTGAGTCTATCACAAAAACATTCAGGATGAAATTGTTCATCTACGCAGCAGATAGCTCTCATTCATTCAGGGAAAAATTGGTCTACTCATAGGGTAGCCAAGATTAAAGTCAGTTATTCCCCAAGCAAGACCCCAGAAATCATGCAACTACTCACATCATTGAATGAGCAGCATTTCTGAGCACAAGCTGAGGCTTCATCCCAGAGCTTGCACTTGAAGTAGTACTGGGCAAGGTAACGGAAGGCAGTGCTAACCTCCAGATGCTCCACTATCTCCTACAGTGAAGAGGGTAAAAACAGCCTGAGTGTTTTCCAAGGTAGTTCTACATCATGTTTACTTTTCCTTTGCTCTCCAAGAGATAGTCTTACCCCACAGGAATAGATATCCTGGATGTATTTGATATAGCACTGAGCAGCCTGTTCAGATTCATTCAGCTGTTCATGCAGCCTAGGAAAATACATAAATAAATGATATGAAATAGCCACTGGAACAAGATCACCTTGTCAGACTTCACTGGTCTATGAGAACCTATGAGAAGTCTGACCTTAACTAGAGCCACTTTTTTTTTTTTCCTTAAGAATTTGCAAAACATGCATGTACTGTCCTCATAGAAAGAAATGATCCAGCCTGAGAACAGCTACATTATCAGGAAGGCAGTCAGTCAGGTGTCACCTGCTAGAAGCAGTGCGGATACAATTAAAGCAGGAACCTTTGTCTGTTCTGTTACATTCCAAGTCTGTAATAGAGTTTTTCCATCCTACTCTTCCAGAGTTCGTTCTTTCTCCATGTTCCAAAACAATCTTTATACAGCAGTTCCATCTTTTACCTGCCCATTTCTGTGGGCGGTGCTCAGTGTGGGTGGTACGTGGGCTAAGGTGGTTACAGTGGGTAAGGTTGGTTACAGGGGTGGTCCTGGGTGGCACTGAACGGGTCACGGCTTCACGGGGCGGTCGCGTGTCACAGTATACAGGCAGCTGTTGCGCAGCATTAAATTGGCGCTTGAGCTGCACCCTACGGAGTGCGTCTCTCGTGTCCCTGTGCCGGGTGCAGAGTGCCGGGTGCTGATAAGGTGTTGTGGACTGGGCTGGAATTGCGTGGAGGTTTGCAACAATTTCCTTCCCCTTCACTTTTTCCCCCCCCTTTGCATGTATTTTTTTCCCAATCAAAAGTTGGTGTTAACATCACTGTTCACATTTATTTCACATTAGATCCTATGCTAAATGTCACATTCGTATATCAGGAGAAAAAAAGGGCGGAAGGAAAAGGAGATGGGGATGAAATAATCCATC